TATTTATCCATCTATTCATTAAATAGATACATGTAACATGCTTATCCTGATTTGGGTGCTATTTTAGATATTGGGGAATAGAAGAAAGAATGTCCCTTTGTCAAATTTATATCTAAAGGAGAATACAAAACAAAAATATAAATATATACTAATTTTTCAGTGATTATAAGTGCTAATAAAGCTATAACTCAAGGCCTGCAGATGGTGTGGTGGTTGCAGCTTTGTATTCCCACATGTCCAACCATGGTTTAAGTACCTAATATAGTGGCTTGCTTTCTGGCTGATAGGCCTGATTGTGATGGCACAGATGATAGGGCACTGATCATAATTCTGGAGCCACACAGAAGACCTGGAGTCAATTCCTGACCTGAGCACACCTGCAGTGGCAAGATACTCATGATCCTATCTGACTGAGAGGCTAGAACAAAAGGACTGTTGCATGCAAGACATTATTGAATGTGTCTGTCTCACTGTCTGTCTCATTTATGTATGAAAAAAAAAATAAATACACTTAAAAAATAACAGCAAATAATATCAGATCTGCAACAATAATCCAGTGTGATCAAACTAGAAAAAGGTTTATCAATATTATTGTAAACCTTTAAGTCTTTTGAACACTTTTAAAGAAACAAACACTTTCAAAGAGACAAACTATATATATCATATGTATAATATATATGTTATATAGAGATCATGTATATGTTATATATCATATTAGAGCATATATAGATCATATATATATGTAACACTTTCAAAGAAAGAAACACTTTCAAAGAAACAAATTATACATCATATATATGTTTTATGTATATATATTATATATATGTGTATATATATAATATATACATATAATTCAGTCAATGTTGCAAGTTTTAACAAGTAATTGCAGAAATTGTTTCACATGTTGGCTTTTTTTTCTCCTGGTCCAAATTTATGACCTGGCCAAGTATTCCACGCACAGCTTATAATGTAAGACTATGTGGTGTGATCTTTGTCCTGAAAGGACAGGGAATCTGCTGGGATAATGGGTTCCTGAGTTTTAATTATATAAATGTTGCTTATTTAAAACATAAAGGATTGTATTTCCCTTTCAACCTATTTGGCAAAAGAACTGAATCTTTAGTATTAGTTTATAAAAAAGGAAAACCATTCATAAAATAATTATTTGATTAAATACTCATCAAAATTGCATCTAATAAAAATAATAATATAAGAGGACTTCAAAAAGTTTATGAAAAAATAGAACTAAGTTTAAGTTTATTTTGATGCCAAGAAAAAAAAGAAATTTATGCAATTTTTTTAAAAAAAAATACAT